AAAAAAAAAAAAAAACAAAGTTCCTTTCTCTCTCCAGTCTTTTTTTTTCTTCCCATAAAATAAAAAAAGACTGTAAATACGAAACCAAAAGAAAAATGTAAAAACGAAAAAGCGGATTAGAAACCTGGCAGATTCACAGTGTTCATCGCACATTCGACGGGCAGCAAAACATGGGCACGAGTTGGAGGAGCAACGATTTTGTGCTGCAATACATTCACAGCAAAATTGTGGAGCAGCCGGTTTACTCATTGTTGAAGTCACCTCTGCTGCGCTTCGAATCGATACATCTATTTTTGCGGAATCGTCGATCGTTCCGGACTCTTTCAGCTGCATACGCGATGTATAGCCATTTGTATTGATGCCGATATTGGTGGTAGCGGTGTTGATTATGGCGGTGGTTGTGGTAGCGGTAGCTGTAGTGGTTGTGGTTGTGGTTGTGCCGATGGTGTTGATGATGTTGGTGCTGGTGATGGCGTTGGTTGTGGTTGTGGTTGAAGCAGTGGTGGCGATGGTGGTGCTGTTGTTGGTGTTGATGGAAAAAGGCATACTCTTCCTCCACTCTTTTTTAGTAGGTCTCTAAAAATCGTTATATTTTAGTTAAATGCCATAAAAAATCTCGTTTTTTTCTTCCCCTTTCCCCTTCTTTTAAGCAATTTTGCTGTCTGTTGGAAAAAAGTAGGAAAGGGAAAGAGGAAGGAGGAAAAAAGAAAGAGAAAAAGAAAAAGAAAAGAAAAGAAGAATGTAAATAGATAAAGAAAGAAAAAAAAGAAAAGAAGAAAGACAGGAAAATGGAAAGAACAGTCAGGTAGATAGAGAAACAGAAAGAATGGAAAAAAAAAGAAAGAGAGAAGCGAAGAAGGAGTGGAAGGAAGGAAACAGGAAGGAAAGATAAAAAGAAGAGAAGAAGAAAAGGTTTTCTTTATTCATCTTATCCTTTTCATCTCCTTCTTCTGCTTTCAAAATACTTTTCCTCATCTTCCTTTTCTTCCTCTACCTTTTCTTCATCCTCTCCCTCCTTAACATCTTTTACTACAATCCTCCATTCTAATCTTCCATGATCTTCTTTATTATCGCTGTCTCCTAGCCATGTCTCTAGAAAAAAATTATTTTGTCCACCTACTCCACTTTTACTTCTTTATGACCTCGTCGCTTACTACTTCAAATATGTTTGCTTTTGATTTGCAGAGAACAGGCAAAAAATAAAAAAAAAAAATTTTTTTCTTGTCTTTTTCATGCTTACTATCTCAATGCATGTTATACTATATAATCTATTCTTTTTTATATCACTTTATTTTTCGATGTTTTCATGTTATATTCTTTTCTTTTTTACTGCTGCTGCTGCTACTACAGCTGTTGTTGTTGTTGTTGTTGTCCCTTTTTTCTCGCCTTTCATGATTTTTCAGCTTTCAAACAACGGAAAAATCCGTCGACTTAAACTGCTGCCGTTGCTGTTATCGTTGCTTTTGCTCTGTTGCTGTGGCTTCTATACGCTTTTTTCTTTAAAAAAAAAAAAAAAATTTTTTTTTCCATCAAGCTTTCTAACTCTTTCCATCTGCTTTTATTTTCAGTCTTATTCAACTTTTTTTCATTCATATTCTACACATTCATTCAACTTTGTGTATGCATATGCATCTGTATGTGTGTGCTTTCATAATATATAATATAAAAACTGAGTTTAGCAACAAATTACGCACATCAGAACATTTTGCTATCAACAATAGGTTTTGCAAGGCGTAGCACTGCTGCCGACAACAGCAACGATAGCAACTGCAGCAGCACTAGAAGCAACAGATATAGCACCATATAGTGAACAGGAGCAGCAGTAGAAGTAATTAGCTTCATCAGAGACGTAGCAGTTTCAGTGTGTCCTTAATAACCGCCAAAGGCTATTAACGTTTTGTCTTTTGACCATATCATTGAGATCTGAGAACTGAGAGGATGAGAGAATGACGATTTTTAATAACCAAGGAAACGTTTAAATTGCTAAAAAAGATTATTTTTTTTTTCATTTATTTAATAATTAGTTTTTTTTTTTAATTCACTTTCACTCTTTTCTTTATCGTCTTTTCTTTCAAATATTAACAGCCCTTTTTAATAAATTTTTTTTTTTTGATATACAAAACTATCCCCCTCCATCGTCTCCTCTCGACCACTTCTTTCTTCAGCCTTTCCCTAACTTTCACTTTTTAAATTTTTCATCCTCTATGAACTTCTAAAAAATCTCGTTCTCTTACTTCTTTTTCGTCTTCCCCTTTATTCAATTTATCATTCTTCTTTCAAAAGTTCAAAAATGCATAAGAGAAGATTTTTTCATGTTTAAACTTCTGTTTGAGCAACAGGTTGTGGTAGGAGAGAAAAAAAAACTGATATTTACTGAGAAATGAATATGCAGAAATTTGCAAGAAAACTTTCAAAAAAAGATTTTAAACTATTTTAAGAAAGCAAAAAAATTTGTTTTTAATTGCAAAATATTTTTTCAAAAAAAGACTAATGTAATGCACTTCCCTTTTGTTTCACTTTGATTAACTTAAAAATATGTTTATTATTATGAGTAGTAATAAAAAAAAAGTGCGAAAATATAGAAAAAATACAAACAAATTGACATAAACTTTCAATTAAATTTTTTGCAAGCAAAAAATGTGTTTTTAATTTAGTATTTTATTTATTTATTTGTCCGATATCTGACAGAAAAGAAAATATATGTGGAAGGATCAAAAAGATACAGTATCTCGTTTTCTGCAGCTATTTGTTTTTCGACCGACTCAGAGCAAAAAGTACAGTGTAAATTTGAGAGCAGCGGTTGTAGTGGTCTCACAGCGAAAAGTTACTGTAGTTGATGCATTAAAGACTACAAAAATCGTTGTTCTTAGCAATAAATTACAGATAAAAGGTTTTTTCCCCTTGTTTTTGCTCCTATCTTCTTTTATTATCTTCTTTTCTGTTGCCTACTCTTTCAGAGCAACTATCTTTTTTTGAAATAATACTATCAAAATTCGTGAATAGCTTTATTAAAATACTTAGCTGGTTTAAAAAAAAAGTAATTAAAGGATTAGGGATTGATTTGTAGGCAAAATAATGAAGTTAACTCAAATCCAATCAAGATCAGATAAAAAAAAAACATGAAAGGAAAAAAAACAACAAAACAAAACAAAACAAAAAGTGTCGCAGCAAAACGGAATATGCGAAAATGATATTATTACTACTTTTTCTTCTCAATCTTCAGCTTTTTCAGCTTTCCTTTTATGGACAGCAGTTAAATCAAAAACGATCAAAACTTTTGATAACTGACACTAGCAGATGTACTCAAATTTCTTCGCCATCACCGAAACTGTTGATAGATGACGATAAATTTTCAGAGCAAAAAAAAAAAATTTTTTTTTGTTTTTTTTTGTTTTGAAATAAAGAAAAGGAAAAAAAGGAAGATGGGGAAAAAAATTCAATTTTTTCATGGAAAACAAAAACGCCAGAAATCAGATTATTTAAGGCCATAAACGAGGCAGATACACAAACAAACAAACATTAAAAAAAAAAACGAACAAGTTTTTATCCTCTCCTATTTCTACTCCCTCTTCTTCCTCTTCTTTTTCACAATTTTTTTTTTTTTGCTTCTACTGCTACTGTTGTTGTTGCTGCTGCTGCTATTTTTCAGCTTAGTTTCATCTTAAAAGTAAGTAATTCGTGGATAAATTGGATAATAAATGTTCAAACAACAAAATAAACATACGTTTGCCTAAAAAGGGAAGAAAAAATTTGTGACGCAAAACGACTCCAAACGGCACAACGAACAGAACGGATATCAATACGGGATAAAAGAGAGTGAAATTTAACGATGATTTGAAAATCAACAGCCGATACGGGGTTTAGCTATCCTCTGATTCTACGGTTCTGCCGTTGACTTCGTTGACTTGATTGGTGATGGTAGCTCTAGTTTATAGTTTGAGATGTTATTTGCCTGTTCGCCAGTAACAACAGTGACAGTAGAATAATGGAAGATTCTTTCGTTTCTTTAATTTTTTTTCGTAAATATACTCAATTGTAGAACCTGTAAAAAATAGAAGCAGTCAGCAAAAAAAAAAAAGAAAAGCAGCGTGTAAACGTAAAACGAATTCGAAATGAATGGAAAAAAAGGAAAAGACGAAAATAAGCAAGGGGGAGAGAAATTAGAAAAAGGATATGAAGCAGAAAAATAAGAAGAAGAACAAGAACAAGAAGAAGAAGAAAAAGGCGAGAACAAAGTAGCCATTTTTGAAACTACCAGAAAAAAAAAACCAGCAAATTTTTTCTCCTCCACCCTTATCCCCTAATTCCATCATCTTCTTCCGCTCCTTCTACATCTGATTCTGCCTCCCTCATCATCATTATCATCATGATCACCATTCGCCATCACCAGCATCACCCTCTTTCTCCTCTTCCGTTTACCCATCGCCAAACTGTTGATGAATTTCCAAGCAGATACACAAAAAACTTGAATAGTAACATAATTGCAGAAGAAAAACTTTAACACTTCTTAGTGTATCTAAAAAAAAAATAAATAAATAAACTTTTTCTATTTCTATCCAACTTTTTTTCATGACCTTATCACCAGACCAGCACTAAGACTGCGTGTCTAAAAAATTTTATCTTGATTCTTCCTGCTAAGTTCCGATTTATAAGCATACATCTGGTGCACGCAAAAAAAAAGCACACCCATACTACACAAAATATACCAGAAATTTTTACATAAACACTCGTACTTCAATCGTGCAATTCTTTTAGCTTGTTCTAAGAAAAAATAGAAATTTTTTTTTTTTTGCATACTCAACAAAGTTGAAAGCTGACGACAATTCTTTTAGGTTAGTTTAGTTCAATAAAACTTTTGCACACAAACACAATCAAACGAAAAAAAAATTGATAGAAAAATTTCAATTTTTAATTTCTTTCTTTTTTTTTTGCTTTTTTTTTTCTGTTTCCGCTGTTCTTACATTGTTCCAGTTTTGTTTCTTAGGTTTTTTTTTTTTTTGACGCCTTCTTCGCCGTCATTATTGTCGTCTTTTTCCTTCATGTTGTTCAATTCCAATTAACTTACAATTAACTTGCAAAAAAAAATAAATAAAATTGAAAAAAAACAAAAAGAAAGGAAAAGGAAAGCAACAAAAAAAGATAAAGAACTGGAAAAAAATTACGTCTAACCAGTGTTAGTCAGAAAAAAAAAAACAACGATGCAAACTGACAACGACATCAACGACATCGCCAAGGACGATGACGATGACGATGACGATTATCGTTTACGGTATCAGCAAAGTTATCGTCTGAACAGAAAAAAAAAACAATAGTAAAAATAGCTCATAAACACTGAAACATTCTGATGGACTGATAAAGTAACTTGTTTGATGACTAAACTGCAGACTATATCCGATTTCTTTAGCCCATTTCGCCCTATTCATCTCGCAGCACTGACCACCCGTATAGGAACAGTGTTACTCAAATGGCCGACACCACCACTCCTCCACCTTTGC